AACAGTTATTCTTCTCATATTTTTGTGTATGAGCCTAGCCCTTAATGGCTGAGCCATCTCTCCAGACTACCTCTTTGTCTTCTAATGGCAGAGAGAAAGGGGGGAGGGTGGATCTGGATGGGAAGAGAGCTGAAGAGCAATTGGGAGAGCAGAGGGAGAGGAAAACATTATCAGGGATATCACATGCAAAAAAATTCTATTTGCAATGAAAAGAAAAGGATTCAACATTAAAACAATAATCTCATATGTTTAGCTTACTAATAATAATCTTATTTAGCTCACTAAATAAAATTTTAAATCAAATACTCACAACATAATAAAACAGACACATTGTAATTAATATATTTGATTTAGGATGTTTCTCTGAAACCAAGTAACAGCCTCCATTAAATACACTGCTGTGAAATGACTAGTTTTTCTAGGGCATGTTTCATCAAAAGCCTGTCTTGTCAGCATCAGGTTTCTAATACATTCTCCATTTTACTGTCATAAAAATGTTGTATATCCAAAAAACTCTGATCCATAATTGTTCCTGTCTGAAAGAACTGCAGGTACAAAAATAGAGAAGGGCCTGAGCAAAAGGATGTCCAACAACAGGCCCAAAGTGGGATCCAGCTAAAGAAGAGGCCCAAGGCCTGACACTATTACTGAGGCTCTGTAGTGCTCACTAAAAGAGGCCTATAGTGACTGCCCTCTATAAGACCCAAGAAGCAGCTGAAAGAGTCAGATGCAGATATTTACACCCAACCATTAGACAGAAGCTGCTGACCTCTGTGGTTGAATCAGGGTAAAGCTGAAAGAAGCTGAGGAGGAGGGCAGCCCTGTAAGAGGACCAGCAGTTTCAATTAACCTGGACCTCTGAGATCTCACAGACACTGGATTACCAGGCGACATACACAAGCTGATGTGAGGCCCCCAACACATACATATACAGCAGAGGACTTCCAGATCTGTGTTCAGTTAGAGAAAATGCACCCAACCCTCAAGAGACTGGAAGCCCCAGGGAGTGGGGAGGTCTGGCATGGTGGGAGGTGAGGACATCCTCATGGAGACGCAGGTGGGGGGAGTAGGTTTAGGAATTGTCAGAGGGTGGACTGGGAGGGGGATAAAATCTGGAGTGTTAAATAAAAGATTAAATAAAATTAAAAGAAAATAGAAGAAAAAGAAAACATACATCATTGACCATGCCACTTAGCCACATTTAAATAAATGTATTATTTTCATATCATGTCTACAAACTAACCTTATGGTTAGTGGTTAGTAAACAGTTTTTGGTATTCCATGTTCCAGTTAGAATAGTAAATTTATGTATGATGTATTCAAAATATTCTGGAGTCCTAATATGCTTATGTTAGAATATTTTTGAGAATAACCAACATGTAACCATTCATCTGAAAGCGTATAGGTAGAAGACATGGGCTGCCTAAGTGAAATCTGATAGTCTCAGTCATTAAAGAGCTTGTTCTAGAGAAGCAATATTACACTGGAAAATATTTACTTCATAATGACATTTCATACAACTTGAAAATATTTTAGATGAATGTAATTAAAATGCAATTAAATTATACTATGGTCTTCTCCTGATATATTCTTAAAATTGATATTTCGCATTTGTAATTAAATCAAATGTTATTGCCCTTAACCAATTTATAATAAATGTATATATTCTCAGTGCTCTATACAAGCAAGCATGCCACAGGATGTCATGGAAATGTAACACATTTTCTTAGTCATTAATTATCTGTCAAATCTAATATCTTAATTCATAAAGAATTTTGTAATTCAAATTCACTTCTTAAATGGAAATGAGCAAATATTACAAATGCTGCCAAGATAAAAGCCTGTTCTTGCTGCATCTCCAGAGTCAGGGTGTCCTTTCTCTTCATCTGAGTAGTCCACTACATTCATGTATTGACTCCTTCAATATAATGCTTAGAATATTTTATGAGCAAATTTATTTTATGAGTAAATTTGTGAGCAAAGAAATTAGGGATAGGTTTATTTTTATGGAACAAAATATTAATTAGAAAAAGTTAACAATGTTTATATTAGCCGGGCAGTGGTGGCGCACGCCTTTAATCCCAGCACTTGGGAGGCAGAGGCAGGCGGATTTCTGAGTTCGAGGCCAGCCTGGTCTACAGAGTGAGTTCCAGGACAGCCCAGGCTACAGAGAAACCCTGTCTCAAACAAACAAACAAACAAACAAAAACAAAAGCAAAACAAAACAACATTATATTACAATGATTACTAACGCAGTAAGCAAAGTTATAGCCTAGTTATGGTGTTAACTTCATATTTCTAGTAAAAAACTGTAACAGAATTTTATAATCATAGATTATATGGCAATAACTAGTTAAATGGATATATAGATAAAAGATCAGGTTACTAAGCAAATTCAGATACTTAATTTTAATATGCATGTAGTTCTTAGTAATACTTAATGACATACATGTAATTATCTTGATATTAAAATAGTTATCATCTCATACTTATGACACTTTTTTGGGTCTTATATATAAGACTTGATTTCTGGTCTAAAAGTTTTTACTTTCAAATTAGATTTTTCAACAAATAGAAAAAATCACTTTGACATTTTTATTTAAGTATTAAATATCCAACACTGAATTTAGAGTAGTTACTGTTGCACATGAAATGCTGGGACTAATGTTTCCTTTTTTTTCTTTTTTTTTAATTTTTTTCTCAAATCATAATTAATTCACACAGGGGTATAAACACAGAAAGGCAGGATGTGAGGAAGGGAATGACACTGGAGTATGGGTGTTCACCTAAAAGGGGGGACTTCTGCCCCTAGACCAAGCAGAGAGGGGCCACCCAGAACCCCCTCTGACAGGTGATCTAATGTTTCCTTCTAATCATCCTTCTTGCTTGATCTATATAGTATTGTTTTAAAGATATTTCAGTGTGGTTGGAATAGACATAGTCAGATACACGAGAACTGTAGCTACGACTATGTATTCTATCCATGTAAAAGGTGATTCACACAATTTCTGAAGATTTCAGTTTTACTTTTTTAAAAAAGGAGACCAAGAAGTGATTTGCAGTTCATAAAGTTTTTGTGTATAACAAGAGGAGACAATGAAGATTGAGGCTTTAAGGATGGCCTTGTTGGGCATCAATGGGAGGAGAGGCCCTTGGTCCTGAGAAGGCTCAATGCCCCTGTGTAAGGGAATGCCAGGGCAGGGAGGCAGGAGTGGGTGGGTGGGTAGGGGAACACCCTCATATAAGCAGGGGAGGGGGGATAGGATAGGGGTATTCCAGAGGGGAAACCAAGAATGGGGATAACATTTGAAATGTAAATAAAGAAAATATCTAATTAAAAAATAACCCACTAAACACAACACAACACGCACCAATAACCAGAGAACCAGAGTCTGCCCCTCTCCGACATACATAACTATATGCAGTCATGGTTAAAGGAAAGTACTAGATACATTAAAATTTTACTTGCAAAACTGCTTACCAGTAGATACATAACATATCACCCTGTAATATAGTGTACAATCACGAGCATTTTGTTGATACTTGAAAAAGAGTTCTTTTGCTTTTTCAATGATGGCAACTACAATTTTTCTGGAACATAACTTGAAAAATTTAAAATAATAATCATTTGTCAAACGGAGTATTGCATGTGTGCCAGCGATGAGTCACCTCTGGGCTCAGTTCTCATCTTTGCACTTGGTACCCCATTAGCAGTCTGATGACTGAGTGCCTTCTCTTCCTCTCCTAGACTGTATCCTCATCCCTGAATTTGCTATCTATGTTGTTTCCTCCCAAGTAAGCAAAGGGACAGGTAAAGGCAACATTGCTGATTTGAAATGTGATCTGAGCCATACAGCTTCCTTGCATTGTTCTATATGAACTGCCAGGAAGTTTTGATGCTGAACAGTAGGTTGAAAGAAATCAATGTACAAGGTATATTCTTAGCTGCCATCTGTGGTTCTAATGTGTTTCCTGAAAATTGCCTTTTAGGAACTTAACTAAAGACTCTATAAGGTTGGCAGATGGACACTAATGGAAGTTGGATGTCATTAAGGCAGAAGAAAAAAAAGGTTATCTTCAACCTTCTGCCATGTGAAAATCATTTTCTTCCTACCCAGGAGGTTCAGACACAGAGTGTCATTTTACAGCTGGAGCCTGAACACAGAAGTGCCTTGAACTCTGCATACCACCGTATCATGAGAAATCAAGTTTTATAAACATTCAAATTTAGTATTTTACTGTAACAGCACAAATAGGCTAGAATAGAACAGAGGACAAAGGTAAAAAAAAAACACACAAATCACTTTTTGAATATAGATTTGGGTAAAAGGTCAAAAATGTATAAAATGTGTGCATCTATTAATGTGTAAGGGTGTGAAAGGTTACTGTAAATTTTATGATTACCTACCAACCAGGTGATGGATACATGATTTAAAGAAAGGTTTTTAAGTAATCTCTCTCTCTCTCTCTCTCTCTCTCTCTCTCTCTCGATATGGGATATTTAAAAAAGATGTAATGAAATAAAGGGCAAACTCAAATGATGACAGATCTCATATCAATGCATCTTACATTTTATGTTAATATATTTTTTCATTTAAAAATATTTACATATACTACAAAATGAAGATTAAAATTTATTTTTCACGTTAATTTTTCTTGCTCTAAGCACAAAGCGCACTGAGATTTCCTTGAACTTCATACATACCTTATTTACAAACATCAAAATGTCTGTATGGGCATTGTATCATGGCTATGTATGTGTTTATGTCAGGCAAATAAAGTATATTTCAGTATTCAAAGTGAAAAGTATAAAACTGGATATTGTAGTGCATACATTTTCAGGGGTATGAGAATAAGTTTAGTTATATAAGTCTGTATTGTCTAATTTTGCATCCATGGAAGTCTTTATGAAAGAGAAAGCAGACCACCCTGGCAGAAATTGTTTGAAGTCTTGAGGACAATATTGAAAATTTAGGAAATAAACCACATGAGTTACTTACAACCATTTCATTTAGAGAAACCCAGCAATCCGGTGGGAAGTCCTGCAGCAGGGGGACGAGGAACTGCAGACAGCCATCCCAGTGACACAGGAGCAGCATCATACCAATGAGGTTGAAGATTCTCACCACGGCACTGGCGAGGTCATAGGTCATGTGGAATATCTGTCGGCAAAATATAAAGTCATGCTGTAAAACATCATGTGACCACTCAGGCATGCTACCAACAGCAGAATTGCTGTAAGTTCTGTGCATGAAATAAAAATAAGAAAAACTGTTTAGATCTAGTAACAGCTTACTGTTTTTTAACCTTCTCAACAAGGCCTGCCATTCTCCTTTATGAATATAATAACCAAGTGTAGATATCTTCACAAAATACGTAAGATGTAATACACACTTTAAATGACAGTAATGTTGATGGCACTATCTCTGTGAACAAATCTTTTTTTGCTTTTCTTTGCATTTATTGTTTATTATTTTATTATTATTATTTTACTTATTCACTTTACATCCCACTCAGTGCACCCATTCACAGTTTGTAAATTTGAGTAACAGAGGTTTTGCTTTGCTTTGAATTCTTTGTTAATGATTTTGTTGAAGATAAGGAAAATATGCAAGGACTACAAAATATAAGAAAGATGTGCATTACAAACTATGAGACCCTATTAAAGGTCAGCCCAAGTGCTATTTCAGGTTTCCGAGCACAGATGCATGAGGAACTTGAATATCCAACCTGAGCTTGAATAAAGACCTCACAGATAGAGTAGCTGTTGTTAAAAATGTATAGTGTTTTAAAGTATAATATTCCATAAAAAATATATTTTATAATAGGTGATAGTATTTCAGCTAACAGAATGATACTTTACATATTCAACAAAACATCAGCAGTGGAAACATAATTCAAACTGGCTTTTGGATTGTTCATTTTTCCTAGTTTTTACAGCAAGTCGAATCAGAACCAACGTTTCCCCTTCATTACTCTAGCATTTGTCTAGTGTGGCAAGACAGAATCCACCTGGGAGCAGACCTACATTCTAGGCTAAGGTTGCAAATGCTAAGAAGTTAGAGAGTGAATGAGCTCCCTCAAGGAAGGTGAGTGAGTGCACACCTACACTGTGATATGTAAAATCACATAAAACCCACCAAAAACCTATATGTCCCTAAGTCAGTAGGAGACAACCTGTTTTGTGAAATTACCCAAGAAACATTTCAAAACCCACTATCTATCTTCTGTGTGTCTGTCTATCTATCTATCTATCTATCTATCTATCTATCTAATCCTAGATCTTTATAGAAAAATCTCTAATATTAGGGTATGAAAATTGATATATCTATATATCTAAATAGGTAGGTGATAGAGAGATAGAGTTAGAGACAGATAGAGATAGAGAGATAAAGATAGATATCAGATAGATATATTGAGATAGATATATAGAGAAATATATAGAGATAAAGATAGATATATAGAGAGAGATTAAATAAAGATACACATCTACTTTTGCTTGTCCTTAACGATTTGTTGTTAAATTTGGTGTATTCTATAAGCATAAGCTTCTTCTTTAAACACTTTTCAACATAGCTGTAGTGAGGGAAATTTATCTTTGTGAAAATATGTAAACTGTTCCAAACTCTTGTAAAGGTAAGATGGAAGAACTGGAGTTTAAAGAAAACTCGGCACCTATTTTGATATTATGACACTATACACACAATATGTTTTGCAGCATCAGTGGACAGTTCCTAAACATAGTGACACAGAAGACACAGGATAAACTCAATGCAACATAAAATCAAAAGGTACTGGATATGGGAAAGAGATTTCTTAGGATGAAGGGGGACTTAAAGGGAAGAAAGGGATGTGGGTGGGAAGGGGTAGGGGTTGTCATCTCAATGCAATATGTGCTTATGTAACATTGTCAAAGAGCAACATTTACAAATAACAATTATAATTACAATACAAAATCCACTGTATGCCGTTGTGGCAACAGCAGATAACAATATAATCAGAACAGCAAAATTACTAAGAGTAAATATTAAGGATTCTTACTTCAAAATATTAGAATCAAGACAGACCTAATAATTAATAGTGAACTTAATTAAACCATATCACTATGCTTGCATATAATTAAAATGTTATGTTATATGTGATAAACAAAATTTTGTCGATTAAAGGTTTTGTAAACCTTAATTAAAAAGAAAATAACGAAAAGTTTTACCATATGCCTTAGTTTTAATTTGGCTTTGTATTTAGCAAAGTCACAAAAGTGTTCGTTTGGTATTGGTCTCTCACGTTTTTAATTAAAAACAGAATTTTCACACACTATATTCTGATCTTGCTTTCTCTCTCTCAATTGCTCTCAGATCCTCCCTACTCATCCAAGTCCACATCCTTTCTTTTTCTCTATCTTTAGAAAACAAAGAGGCAGAGAAAGAAAACAAGAAAGAGAATAAGATGGGGAGGGAGGGGGGAGGGAGTAAGAACAATCACAAAAGAAAAGACAAGAGAAAGACATACACAAACCAACAAAAACACAAAACAAGAAACCACAATATACAAGCAAAGACCAACAAAACAACAAAATACCCAAAGAAAGCGGTATGAGGCAAAAAGTCTACATAATACTGCTCAGTTTGTGTTGTGTTAGGCATGTGGCCTATCTTAAGTGTGATTAATATTTCCTGTGAAATTTCATGGGACAAACTAACTTTTCTTTGAGAGCAGATGTCAATTGCAGATAGCATCATTTATATTTTATGCTACAAAGTTACAAAACTTGAAATGTGTTACACTCTGGTTCATCACTTCCTGTGGAATAATTCTCAGGCATTATTTGCCAAAATGTTTTCAGATAATTTGTCAGCAGGTTGGACAGTATTAACTTAGAAACATATAGATTTGGGGAGAATCATATGAGATTTTTAAATATCAGTTTTGTGCATTTGTTCAACATATTTTTGTGTGTGCTTATTCACCTTGTAATTCTTTAGCATTTGGAAACTTAGCCTAGGATGTAGGTCTGTTCCCCAGTGTATTCTTTCCTTCCAGAGCAGGTGAATGCTCAACTGCTAAAGCTGGTTCTGATTCCACTATTTGTGATAACTAGAAAATTGTGCAAGTAAAAAGGTATATGTTCCAAAATATCTCAGCGTTTGCACATGGTGTAGCTGGTGGTCTCTCCATCTCTGTCTACTGTGAGAGGAATCATCGCTTGTGGTGGCTGAGCAAGGCATCACTTACATTTCTTAGTCACTGCATTCACAGATAGAAACCATACTAATATCAATGAAAAATAATATAGAGTAACACATTGTTTTTGCTTCTATTTAATTCCTGCTACAGAGGTCAGAACTCATTATGCCAGGTACCATAAAACTGCCCAATAACCTGTGGCTGGGAGGTAGTGGTGCCATGGAATAACCTTACACTAGTATATTGCTAAGCAGACATTGTACCAAACTATCATCAAATGCATACCCTTATACTCACAATGCAGTAGCAGTCTACCTTCATCAGAGAAGCTTCTGTTTCAGAGGGAAGAAGTTAATAAGTGTCTCATAACTGGTCAAAGTACAGAGAATAATTGATAGTGGAGTTCTCAGCCTTAAATTAACATTTTCAGCATATCCCATTTTCTAAGGCTAAGAGAAGAGCAAGCAGAAAACAGCAGAACAGCTGTGATAACCAGAGGTGAAGAGATGCTGCAGAGTAACGTCTTGTGGACGTGAGAGGACTGTGGCAATTGGTTCCTCACATAACAATTAAACAAGATGAAACCAGATAAAATTCCAAGAGTGATAAAAAAAAATAGGTGTTGACTGCTGGGGTGATGTGAGGTTTGTTGTCTTTAGAGGTTTAGTAAGTTGTCAATGTTTCAGTGGATGTCCCTACACTCATGCACGTATAAGTAGCAGTATTTGGAATTAATATATAAAGAAAATGAAGGAGGATAAGAGGGAGAGGGAGGAGGAAGATGAAGAAGAATGAGGAGCAGGAGAGGAGAAGGAGAGGAGGAGGAGGAGAAGGAGAAGGAGAAGGAAGAGAAGCAGGAGAAGAAGAAGCTTAAGGAAGAGGAGGAGGACAACAATGAGGAGGAGGAGGAGGAGGAGGAGGAGGAGGAGTAGGAGGAGGAGGAGGAGGAGGAGGAGAAGTCTACAGTGGCAGGAAATTTGGAGGAGATGCATGGGGGTATGGAAGTAGCTGTAGGATGGGAATAGACATGATCAAAATACATTGTGTGTCTGTGTGAGTTTATCAAGCCTTCAGAGGCCAACAAGTGATAATCTCATGGAACTGAAATGACAAGTGATCGTGAGCCACTCCATGTAGGTGCAGGGGACTGAAGTTGGGTCCTTTGAATGATTTTATCCACTAAGACAACTCTCTAGCCTCAAGAGTAAAAATTTACAGAAGATTGAAAATAAGGTAATCCCATAACAGAGTTACTTTGTTAACAATATTGGTTTAATAGTATTTTAAGGTTACATATTTCTTTAGGAAGCATGCTATGTTTATTTAAGACTAAAGATACATTTTATGTATTTCAGTTGTATTTAATATCAATGATCAACTATTGCTACAGCTGTTTTTCACTTTGACTATTACTCCACCTGCTCTCTATGCTCCATCAGGTCCCATGGGATAATGCAACAGCTATTTCTTTTGTTTTTGTGATTGCTTTCCTCATTTTTAAAGCCCAAAGACAATGTTATTAGAGGGTAAAAGGAACACCCTAAGGCATGCAAGCTGTCAAACCTCAGAAGCTACCTGGGAGAGGAGAAATAAAAGAGGAATAACCATTTCATTTTAATGTGTCATGGAGGTCAGAGGCATGGCAGAGAAGAAGCCACTTGATCATGGGAGAAACTTTTAAAAAAGAGTAGGAAGCTAAAAATATTGAGAGAAAAACTCAAAGTGTTAAGAAAAAACCTGTTTTTAAAAAAATAGAAGAAAGAAAGGGCAAATTCTGTTTTTCCAAATAATTCATGAAGGCAGGCATAGTTATGATCCTACACGATAGGGCACATACGGTACTGTATAACAGTCATTCAGTCACAGTTCTTCCATACAAAATTGCAATCCCATATATCTACATATTTTTAAAGGCCATTAAATTTAATATTATCATTATTTTCTCTGAAAAATATCATACCATGTACTTCTTTTTTTA